AGTTTGTGCAGCAACTATGCCTGTGAATGCTTCCTTTGCCATCTCTCTAAGAGCGTCAATGCTTCAACAGCCTTCACCCAAATTTGTCATTACTGAAACACTCAAAGAAGATATAAACAGTTGTCTAAAATCAAACTTCTATCCATATCTTCCTCTTCCATCTTGCTACCTCACAGTAATAGTTATCATATATTTAATTTATGGGTTAACAGTCCCAAGCCTTTAACACATAGGGGAAGTATTGAAAAAGTAGCCTAACTTTAAGTGCATGTCTAATAATCTGCTACTGGAACAGGTATTTGAATATGCTTCAACTTTCAAACTGAGTTCTATACCCTATGAACTGACTTCAAAGAAAACCAATACAAGTTGGGATTAATTATTTTTGGGTCTAATCTACACGCTAGCAGTTTAACTATGTCTTCTAGTTTTACTACAATGACTACAATGTCCGTGTTGGAGTCAGCTGAAGGCTACACACCATTGTTTCATATAGACAGTGCTGTTCATTTATTTTTTTTGGTCTACACGCTACCAGTTTTACTATTGCACAGGTCTTCTAGCCTAGTTCTAGTACAATGTCCGTGTGGAATAACAAGGAAACTGGGCGTCTTTTTGATAGTTCCTATACCGCTTACTTGGACCTAGAGATCTAGATCTAGATTTAGATCAGAAGTTATGTTTGATGCGCGGCGAGCGAGAGATATCAAACCTAACGGCAAAACATCAAATTATGGTAAAGTACCCCCCCCCCCCTTTGAACCCCCCTCCACATTATTATTAGATTTCTAGCTGTCCCCCTAAAATACTCTCTTGGGACCAAAACTGGCGAATAGTAATTGGGGGAGGGGGGGGGGGTACTGAAAAAGTAAACTATTCTACAGTTCATCGAACATTATCTTGTTTTTGGATTTGAGAACCAAAAATGCTGCTAAATCATCCATGTAGCTTGCTTCAGCTATTGTTGACGTTTTTGACCTAGATCTAGCTACAACAGTCCAAGGACGGATAAAAAAAACTGTACGTCTAAACGGAACTTCTCTCGTCGACAAACTTTCAGTTTACCGATGACACAGATCGAGCGTCCGTCGGTTAAACTGTCAGTTTGTCGATCAGCGAACTGTACGTCTAAATAGGCCTTAATAGGCCTTAAGTCCTACGTGTGTCGTCTGTTGGCCGTTCAGCCTCTCCCGTAGTGTCAATGGGGTTGGCCACAGGGCTCTGTGTGCTCTACACTTGTGGAGGACATGTTCAATATAGGAAAGAGTGTTAATGGTTTCATCCAGTTTGGTCCGTTTCTTCATACTGCAATACATTTGGTGATAACACACGTTTGAACATCAAGCTAACAAGAATTATACACTCAACTATCTACAAAACCGACCTCATCATTACCTAGTGTTCAACTTAGCTAACATATTGCGTGTAAAACCTTATACTAATCAGATCGTGTCATTTTGAAAAGATTGGGCAAATAGGGTGAAAAAAAGTTTTCAACATTGGTACGTATGTACTGTTTTGAGTCTAGTGTGTTGCGTTCCTAGTCTGAAGATAATCCCGTAGTTGATCTTGCTAGGACAGCCAATGGTAGCTGAGTAGACTTTGTGGATGAGATAGCGATACAGACACTACCGTTCGCACCTTTGGCCTAGAAATTATTTTCATTAATGGCATTCTGTTTTTGGGAAGTGAATGATATAGTGATTATGTTCCAAATATTACTATCATTACATCTAAAAGAACTTCACCGAGGCACTTTGGTTTTGTGGATGAAATGAATGATGCCGAATTGTTTTGTTTTTACATGAAGGGTATAACAGACCAACTACCACACGGCATTGTTTCTATATTGATTTTGCCGATAACATATTTGTTTTAAGAAAGTGTATAGTAGAAACTCTCTCCCACCACAGAGATTTATTATCTATTTGTGGTAGTCGAATTTTGCTATTCAAAAGGCTTTTTAATGGCTGCATCGATCGACAGGAAAGTTTGATGGAAAGAGAGGCAGAGGCAGACAGAGGGAAAAGATACTGGACAAGATGACAACATGGTTGGGAGCAGCAAGAACAACAGACACCATTGCTGCAGCGAAGGACAGGTTGAAGTGGTGGTCCATGGTCGCCCACGCCAGTCGGCAAGGTACCGGATGATGATGATGATCGATCGACATGCGGTTTTCGCCAAAAGATTCTTTAAAATATTCTCCAGATAATAACGTTCTTCTTTTTTTCAGTTTTGAGACAGTTTTGCTGCAAAAAGCTAAATTTCTTTATTTCGTCGATCGCTTTGTAGGCCGATGTTTCTGTCTCTTTTTAGAAAATCCACCATGTTTGTTTATTATAAGTCGTACTTCCGTTCGATACTATCTCGCATTCTCGAACAATACTCAGCACTATTGTAAGTGTGCGACCCGATAAGATCTAGCCTCCTGTTTTCTTTTTTTACTTGGTGCTAAATTACCCTGTGATACTTTCGTTTGATGCCCATCATCGCTTTTTGTATTGCTCCATTCCAGTAGAGTGTAAATTAATACAGTAGGCCAATGGCTTTTAGTTGATGTTAATGCACCGATCATTCCTTTTATCAAAAGGGGGCCCAGCTAGTGACATATAATACTACCTGGGCCCCCTTTCGACGAAAGGAATGATCGGTACTTTGATGTCAACTAAACGTCCTTGGCCTACTATATTTACACTCTACTGGAATGGGGCCATAAATCTCGAGAGAGGCAAAAAATGAGATGGTCTATATCTATACTCTCAAAACAAAAAGCGCCTCGAGAAATATCACTTCCGGATTTTCTAAAATTACAGAAACAGAAGCGTCGGCCCACAAAAGCGATCGGCGAAATAAAGAAATTTAGCTTTTTGCAGCAAAACTGTCTCAAAACTGATAAAACCAAGGGCGTCATGATCTGGAGAATATCTTAAAGAATTTTTTTGCGAAAACTGCATGTCGATCGATACAGCCATTAAAAAGCCTTTTGAATAGCAACATTCGGCCTCCACAAATAGATAATAGATTAGAACTCGCAGCAATGACGTCACACATGTCAGACATGAGAGCCTTCTTACCCTCATCGGCGACATGGCCCGGCCCCATTTACATGAAAAATAGGAGCTCCCACCCCGCTCCCCACGAGCTGTAGTATAATATTTAACACTACCCTGCATCCATATTTTACTGCAAGCTTGTAGATTTTCTCCGAAGACTACCAAGACACCACGTGTGTCTCGAAAAGTATTCATCCATCTGATGAACTGCGCATGTCTTGCCCTTGCGGTTCAGCGCTTCAGAGTGAGCACACGCAGCCCTTGGTCGTTTACCCGGGGTCATCATTGCCACGAACTCTAGTACATGATTTTAATATAACCGCTTTCTTCTTTCACACATTAAATACCATAATGGTTTCATCAATTATATTTTGATTTGGTAAGTAAAGGATAAATAGAGTATCTACCGCACATTAGATCTATAATGATTTCGCCAATGACTTTGTTTTTCTGAAATGAACAGTGGAAAGAAAAGTTACCTTTCACACTTTAAAGATTCATACATTGTTTAATTAAATATATTTTACCTTTGTGAAATAAATCACTTCATTAAAGGCATATAAATTTCGTGAATAAAATCAACAAATCAGAAATTATATTCAACACCATAAATGTTACCAGATTATTATTTATAGCAAATTAAATTGAGTGAATTTTTGTTTTGTTTTGGTGGTTGGGGAAGGGGGGAGAAATAAATGAAATTGTAATATAGACTTTCTACCAAAGTTATTTTGCTTTATGTGAAATTAATAATTTAGAAATATTGTTAACACATTTGTTTTTTCTATTAATTTCTTTTTCAATAAGGCATTTTTTCATTCTCCTCCCCCCCCTCCTACCCACCCCAACTCATCTGAAATGTATGTTTTCTTTCCGATACGACACACAACATAAGCTATTAAAACAAGACTGTTTAAAATATGCAGTTTTCTTCTTGAGCAACGTTCTATGTTGTTGCAGTTGATCATCTGACCAAATAACAAAGGAAATGCTTAAATATGTTTTATAAAGTCTTAGAATGTCCTCAATTGTAAAGTTACATTTGCACAATAATATAACCCTCAGCTGTATGAATATGATAAAAACAGTAAAAGCATGTACACAAAACACTGTGTATGTTATAGAAATTCCAAACAGACAGTAATTGTTCACAGCGCGCTCCCTTAAGAGGGGGGGGGGGGCTACACCCCCAGAACCCCGATCAAAATTATGGAATTTGAGTTGTAGACATATTTAGCTTCCTCAGCCTCTCCTACAACTATTTCATTTGCAAAAGGACCACCCAAAACCGTTTTTTTCCCATACCGGGCATGTTTATCCACACCATTTCCTCATAAAGTCAATATTTTATTTTTCTTTACCAGCCGTTCTCTCAAAGCGCGACTTTTCTCTATACTTTTAAAAATAACTCCCCTATTTTTCACCCAATGTTCATGAAATTTTCACAGAATGAAAAGAAGATGTAATGCTAAAAATTTATGTGTTGAATTTTTCATATTTAGAACAGTTTTTTGTTGGTGGTGTCTTGAATGTGAATTTTCACGGATTTTTTGCAAACTTGAATGGTACCTCAGAAAAAAATTCATTAAAATTTTTAAAATTCGTTTAGGAACAAACCACAGACACATTTTTAGATCTAATGTTTGTTAACACGCATGAAAAAACCCCAATCAATTTCCATCTGCAGTAAGAGCGGTATTCATTACGTAAGACATGTCAACAAAATCCAATATGGTCGCCATATCCATGGAAACGAAACTTTTTTCCTCAAATTTCATTGCGATTTTTAAGACTCCTTACAATGTTTGTTATATGTGTGAAATTTGGTAACATTCGGCCCAATAATAAGCGAGATAGCCTTCAGGTGTAAAACCCCCCCTCCCCCCTTTAACTAAACGTTTTAATCAAATTCATGTTAATTCTGTAAAAGGAAATACTTAGAGACTATCTTCCACACATCAAATCTAAAATCATGTCATCGATGAGATTCTGATTTTGTGGGTGAAACGGATGGTTTTCCATGGCTAGGGTAGTTTCCCAGGTCCGAAGGTAGACAACTCTGTCTCGCAAGGGCCGGTACTCTTGAATAAGGATTTCTTCCATGAATCTTGCGAGGCCGTCACCGCCCACGTAGTGTTGAGGCCACCCTACATACGTCACATGAGGGCCCTGAGGGAGGGATGGAATGATATATAACACATTTTTCATCTTTTTCTTTACGCCCCTTTCGATACATTTAAGTTAATTTATTAGGAGGCGGGATTCCAACTCTGCCTGTTACAGCTAACCCGGGCTGAGAGGTATACAACAGCGCACTATAAAAAGACTGGAAAACATGACAACAAGTTTTTCCCACTTGGGATTCGAAATCGGGTCTCCTGCGTGCGACAGCGAAGCGCCTAGCCGCTATAGCCACAGCAAGGCGCTGGTAGTTTACTCATAGTGAGAATACAGGAGTATATTCGTGGAAGAATATGCGTGAACTAGCAGGGTCCCCGTTCAATGAACGGACCCAAAGAGAATCGATCGTTAAGTCATTGTGGATCAGTGTGCACTGCTTGTGAACGGAAGCCTCAATTGTTTACAATGGCGTCTTAGAAGAGGGACTTTCCCAAGATTAGATCTAAACGAATGTAATAAAAAAAACCCCTGAAAATTAAACAGCTGTGACTTCAGACTGAGGGAGCGATGGAATAATATAATAAAACACATTTTTCATCTTTTTCTTTACGCCCCTTTCGATAGTAACGTACATTTTCTACATGAAGGCTACAGTGGAAAAACGACTGTGGTCACAAACTGAAAATCGTAAGGGTACCAATTATTGTGAACGTTTGTTGACTCATAACTGTATTTCTGTTCAACTTTTGGTTGATTATTGTTGTTAGAATTCCCATTCAACAACACTTAACAATAAACCACCAGTCAAACAATAAATATGAAGTTATGAGTCCACAAGCTTTTAATATTGGCACCCTCACAATTTCCAGTTTGTGACCACCGTTGTTTTCCCCCTGTGCTCTCCACTTACCAAAACAAACCAAAATAAACCAAAACAAACAAAACAGAATGCCACCAGGTCTAAGGTTGTGGTAACAATAGTAAACGTCATGGTTAAATCAGGCGCTCGTCAATTTTTGGGCATGGTGAGTTATTGGTCTTATCTAAAATGTTATTCGTTTGCTTTGCTTTTAAGTTAAAAAATACCCATCTATCGTGAATAGAAGTCGAAATATTTGCGATTGAAGGGAGCGAGATCGCCTGGTTGCAGACGTGAAATTAGCAAGAAAAATGAGTACTTAAAAACTGAAAAAGACGACATATTTTGTGTCTTTAATCAACGTTTTTAAGTAAAATTCACGTGTAAATGTGTTTTTATATGGACATAAAAAGGGTTGAGCCAAAAAAATCCCCCAAAGATTAGATAAACATTGCCAAACTGGCAGAAAAAAGCCTGTTTCTCCGAATTCATCGTTTCGACGAGTGCCTGATTTCACCAAGATGCCATACGTCAGTATATGAAGCATCGAGGGAAAACCAGACGCTCGTCAAAATAATCAGATTTAAAAAACCCTGATATTTATTATTATACCTTTTGGGCATTAAAAAAATGATTCTACTCCTTACAAGAAAATACAAACCTTTTATGTTCGTTAAAAACATATTTATGCTATAAGCGTTGTTTACTGAAGAGGCACAAAGGAGTGTAACTTTAAATTTTCCAAAACAACTCACAAAATATTGGCGGCCATTTCACGCATAGTTTACATCTAAAAGAAGTCAAACCTCACTTTCTTCAATCGCAAATTATACCTATTTTTATTCCAGACGAACGGGTATTTTTTCAAACAGAACAAGATAACGAACAAGCTTTAAGATGACACCGTTAAATCTATATGTCTAAAAAAATTGATGAATGCGGGATTCAACCGTGTCAAGAGACACACGTTATTTAATGGGCTAAAATCTTGTCTTAATCTTAGTAAAACTAAAAACTACAGTCTGTTCCAACCTGCATTAAAACCTGTATGTTCATACTTTTCGTAAAACCTGTATATTATTATACCAGATCTAAAACCAGTATCATATTTAAAATATAACCTGTATGTTCTTACCTTTCGTAAAACCTGAATATTATTATACCCTATCTAAAACCTGTATATTATTATACTCTATCTAAAACCTGTGTATTATTATACCTTATCTAAAACCTGTGTCATATATTTTTTTAAAACCCTGTAAGTTCCTACCAGCACTAAAACCTTTACATACTACCTTTACTTATACCTGCATGTTCATACCTTTAGTAAAACTTGTACATATTACTTTCACTAAAACCTCTATGTACCTACCTACACTAAAACCTGTACTATACCTACACTAAAACCTGTACTATACCAACACTGAAACCTGTACTATACCTACACTAAAACCTGTACTATACCAGCACTAAAACCTGTACTATACCTGTACTAAAACCTGTACTATACCTACACTAAAACATGTACTATACCTACACTAAAACATGTACTATACCTTTGCTAAAACCTCTACGTACCTACATGCACTAAAACCTGTACTGTACCTGCACTGAAACCTGTACGTACCTACCTGCACGAAAACCTGTACAAACTACCTTCATAAAAACTACATTTAATAAAAACCTGTATGTACCCACCTACACTAAAACCTGTACTATACCTTCACAACAACCTCTATCTACCTACCTGCACTAAAACCTGAACGTTTGGGTTCCTGTCCAGCAATCTGGCCACAGCGTCCCTGGAGGCGATGACCATGTTATGGAAGGCAGTCACGTGATGCATGACCAGGTGGAAGTAATGATGTAGCACCAGCAGAACACGGCCCGGGGTTTCGGCGGGAATTGAATCGATCACGTGAGAGGAGGGGACCAGTGACCCCATCATGGCCCAGTCCGTCTGGAGAAAAAAATAGCAAAAAAAAAAAAAGGAATTGTCACAAAGGGTTACGTGGGCAGACTTTCAAAGTTCGGAAACTACGAGTACTTTTTGATTTTTTCAGGTTTGATGGTTCTTCCTGTAAATCGAAGCTCTCAGATATTTTCACTCCGCCATTAGCCATTTCATAATTTTTTATTGAGGACTGCTTCCGTTTCGGTGTGTTCTTCGTCGTGCGTGTGAGAAGCTGCTTCTATTATTTCCAGATCTAGAATCTCGATGACCAACTCTGATTGGATGTGTGCTTTGCAGTGCCGATGTGTTCTTCAGGCCAAACTTCATTGTATGGACTTTTTCAAGATACATTTGGTGTAGTCATGTCCCCAACACGTTGAGTTCGTTTAAACCCACAGAATGTTCACTTCGTTGTACTGACGTTTTCAAAATTTGGCGCACATTTGATGAGCAGTTTTATTTTTTATAGAGCAAGACTCTAGATAAAGATCTCTCTAAATCCTAGATAGATGTAGAAATAGACTTTAGGTTATTTGGAACACTGTATTCAAGTCTGATTTGGAGTAGTTAGCAAGAACTGAAGTGAAGTTTGTGCTTTGTGTCGTGTGTGTGTAACAGAGTTCTACTTCGTGCTTAGAAAGCTTCTTCTACTGTTTCTAGAACTAGAATCTCGATATCTAACTCTGTTTGGATGTGAGCTTCGCAGTGTCGATGAGTACTTCAGGTCAAACTTTACATCTTGGGATTTCGTATCACTAAATCAGTGTTCGTAGATCGGGTCTGTATCTTGTAATAACAACAATAATAATAATAATAATAATAATAATAATAATAATAATAATAATAATAATAATATCATCATCATCATCATCATCATCATCATCATCATCATCATCATCATCATCATCATCATCATCATCATCATCATCATCATCATCATCATCATCATCATCATCATCATCATCATCATCATCATCATCATCGTCATCATTGTATAAAGAAGGTATTAAAACAGTTAAGACCTTGTCGTATTTCCAGAAAATATATATTTTTCACAGTTCAACGTTTCGCCAATAAGGCTTCATCAGGAACATAGTATTTGAGAGAAAAAAAATGATGACGCCACAGCAACAAAGTGTTCACTATAAGTTACGTATTGTTGTGATTTGGACAATATCGGAAATATCTTCATCATCATCATCATATACACAGGCTATAAAAACTAAAGTGCGCACATAAATGTCTGAATATTTAAAGGAGCGGTGAGTACAAATCGCCGGAGAGAAGGGAACACTAAAGCCAGAAGTGGTAGAGAGAGAGAGAGAGAGAGAGAGAGGGGGGGGGGGGGGGGGGGGGTGGAAAGGTGCGTGGAAGTAAGGAATATAATAACAGAAGGGTGCGGTGAACACAAATCGGAAAGGCCAGAGAAAGAGAAACACTAGGGCCAGAGGTGGCAGAGAGAGAGGGAAAGGAAAAGAGAGAGAGAGAGAGAGAGAGAGAGAGAGAGAGAGAGAGAGAGAGAGAGAGAGAGAGAGAGAGAGAGAGAGAGAGAGAGAGAGAGAGAGAGAGAGGGAGATTATCATCATCATCATCATTATCATTATTACCATTATTATTATTATTATTATTATTATTATTATTATTATTATTATTAAACTCGACTGACACTAGAAGAGCTAAAGGGGTTAGCGTGTGGGTTCCAGTCCGCTGTGAAGCCGGCCTTTGTGTGAGAACACCGGAGTGGTGCATGCCAGGCTTTCTTCGTCTGTATGACGTGCCACACAGCCTCCATCGCTGTACAGTAGCGGTTCAAATGGTGTCTGCTGTTGGAGTCTCCGACGATGTGGAGCTAGAAAGGGGGTGGGGAGAGGGAGGGAGATGAGGGGTCGGGGTTATGAGTGGGGGTGGGGGATGGGGTGAGGGGGGATGGGGGTGGGGCTGGAGATAAAGGGGGTGGCGGTGTGAAGAGATGAGGGGTGGGGATAAGAGTGGGAGTGGGTGATGGGGGTG